ATCATTAAGTGTTTAATCGCTGATGATTTCTGGTAGATATCCTTTTTTATGCTGAGGAACTTGCATTTCATTCCTGACTTACTGAAATTAAAAAAAAAATTCTAAATGTTGGATTTTATTGAATGCTTCTTGTATTAAGATAATTAATATTACTTCATTTCTGAGGTGAATTATAGGATGAATTTCTTTCATGTTGAATTGTCTTTTGCCCCTTGGATAAGCTCTCCCTGGACAAAATGTATTCTTTGATATACTCTTGATTTGGTTTGTTAATATTTATAATTTAGGATGTTTGCATTTACATTCCCAAGTAACAAATGAACATAATTTCCTATGATTGTTACTCTCCTTGCTCTCATCTCTAGTGTTATCTTAGTGTTAGCTATAATCCATGGCCACTCCAGCTTTCTTATCCTTCTTCAAACACATCAGACTTTGTCACACCTCGAAGCCAATACACTTGCTGCTTCCTCAGACTGGGATGGCTTCCCCAAGAGGTTTGTGTGGCTGGAGGCTGCATACCTATTAAGACTCAGGCACCTGGCCAGATATCACCACCTTATCTGAACTAGCCACCCCCTGTCATTCTCAGCCCTTTTAGCCTATTTTATGTCCTCTATAGCACTATTTCTATCAGAAAGTATATTATTTCCCAGTGTGTTTCCTTGTTTATTATCTGTTTTTTCCTACTGCACCCCATGAGAGCAGGGCCAGTTTCTGCCCGGATGCTGCTGCCTGTCACAGAGTAGGTGCTCAGGAAATATTTCTTGAATGGATGAGTGGTTTGTTTTTGTTTTTCCAGACAAGGGGCATGGGAGACAAAATTTCTCAGTCTCTAGGTTTGAAACACGTTTCCATTTTGTCTTCTTTGTTGCATGTTGGTTGGCACAGGATTTTATTATTTAAGTGCCATCCCTGCATATGCAAAATAGGAATAATAAAGGCCCTCATCTCATGGAGTTTTGAAGGGTACTCAGTGAGAAAGGTATGCAAAGTACTTCTCACCGTGCCAGGCAGATAGGTAGATGGTGTTCAGGACATGCTTTCTGTTATTGTTCCTGACTCCCTCACAGAGCACGGAGAAACCTGCCTGAGCCCTAGTTTCTCCTCACTGGCCAATGGGGACGGCAATCCCGTCTTGCTTATTTCAAAGGGTGATATAAGGATCAAACAAGAGCATGGAATTTGAAAATGATTAAGCGTAATATGAATATTATGATTCTTTCCTGTCATGTCCAAGAAAGAGCCCCATGAAATGAATCCGGGAAACAGGGTACCCCGTGGGCAGAGAGTAGATCTGGAGCTGGACAGACCTGGGCTCAACTTCCGACTCCGCTACTTACCAGCTGTGTGACTTAGGGCAAATTACAAGCCCCTCTGATTCTCATCTTTGTGGTATTGCTGTTCATTCTGTAAAATAGGGGATAACACTACTTCATGGGGTTACTGTAGGAATTAGATAAAAGTGAATATATAAAAATCCCAGTTTAACATTTTTCACAGACGTGGGTATTTAATAAATGATATCTATTAATATTATATTTGTCTATGAAAAGGATTGGCAAGCCACGATTTAGAATGTTCTCTTTCCAATTTCCCATCATCGAAATAATCACACTTCGCACATCCTCACTGGCAGATTTCACAACTAGTGCATTCAGGAAAAGTTATTTATTTGAATAACAAATTCTTTGCCCAGTTCCCCAAATTGCACTTTCAAACAGGCGTTGTTATAGGTCTGCAGTGTGGGGGTAGATGGAGGAAGGCGTGATGATAATGGTCATAGAGCTAACATGTGTGGGCAACTCACCGTGTTCCAGGCACTGTGCTAAGAGCTTAGAGGCACTCACTCATTCCTGCTCATCTTACAGATAAGAAGGCATTGGTTGGCTCAGAGAGTCTAGGTAACTTGCCCAAGGCCACACAGCTATAAGAGGCAGAGGCCAGATCTGAGCCAGCAGCTTGA